TGTTGGAATCCTACCACTATACCTGTAGATCAGGGGTGGGAAAACTTGTATCTGCCAAGGGCCATTTGTATATTTTTAACATAATGTAAATTTTTGTGGCACTGTACTATAAGCATTCGACCCCAAGGTTGGGGGTTCAAACTCAGCAGCCACTCCTTGGAAACCCCATACAGGGTTGCTATGAGTTGGAACCAACTCGAAGGTACTTAACAACAAGAATCAAAAAAAGCTCCTTGATTTATTTAATGTCCAGTCCTACCTATAGCTGCCTGGGGAGGGCCACACCAATGATTTCACAGTCTTATGAGGAGCTCTGACCGTGTTTCTCTGCTATTCATAAGGTTTTCAGTGACTAAATATTCGGAAATAGTTCATCACTCTTTCGTCCTAGTCTGTCTTCATCTGGAAGCTCATCTGAAACCTGTCCACCATGGGTGACCTTGCTGCTATTTAAAATACCGATGGCATAGCTTTCAGAATCACAGCAACTCACAAGCCACCACAGTACGACAAACTGTAATCGGTATGGATGACATCTCAAAGTCTTCATCACTGGACCAATTAACAGCATTCTTATCAACAGAGAAAAGATTAAAGTTGTCAAGGACTTTGTTCTTCTTGAATCAACTGTCAACACTCATGGAATCAGCAGTTAAGAAATCAAACGATGTATTGCATTAGGCAAATCTGCTGTACAAGACCTTCTGAAAGTGTTGAAGAGCAAAGATGTTAGCTTGAGGACTAAGGTGCACCTGACCCAAGCCATGGTATTTTCAATAACCTCATATGCATGTGAAAGCTGGACAGTGAATAAGGAAGATCTTAGAAGAATTGATGCTTTTGAGTTATGGTGTTGGAGGAGAATATTGAAAGTGCCATGGGCTGCCAAAAGAACCAACAGATCTGTGTTGGAAGAAGTGCAGCCAGAGTGCTCCTTGGAGGCCAGGAAGGCCAAACTTCATCTCTCATACTTTGGACATATTGTCAGGAAGGATCAGTCACTGGAGAAGGATATTATGTTTGGCAAGGTGGAGGGTCAGAGAAAAAGAGGAAGACCCCCCAATGAGATGGATTGGCCAAGTGGCAGCATCGATGGACTCAAGCTTGGCAATGGTATTGAGGTTGACCCAGGATTGGGCAGTGTTTTGTTCTGCTGTGCATAACGTCACTATGGGTCGGTACCAACTCAATGGCACCTAACAACAACAACAACATAAGGAGTTCTGGTACTGTAGTGGCTACAAATCTGGCTGTGAACATCAAGGTCAGCAGTTCGAAACTACCAGCTATTCTGAGGGACAAATATGAGGCTTTCTGATCCCGTAAACAATTACAGCCCCAGAAACCCCATTCAGGGTCGCTATGAGTCAGAACCAACTCCACGGCATACCACCACCACCACCATATGGTCTGTGGGCCAGATGTCTCCCCCCTCTGTTGTAGATAGAATCCTGGTATATCTTTGCAGGATAAGTATTGGACTGCTAACCACAAAGTCAGTGGTTCAAATCTACCAGCGGATCCTCAGGGTTACCTTGAGTTGGAAATGACTTGACAGCACTTAACAAGAAGGTTTGTAGGTGTTTGGTCAGAGTAAGTAAAAGTTAGGGTGGGGCCCAGTTCCCTTCCTCTCCTTATTGTGTGTGCAGAAGAAACAGACACAATTGTTCTGCATGTCCTCTGATTTAAGCTAACAGCCGTTTAGGTCTTGATATTGTGCCTTGGTAGTGCTGTAGGATAAGCACTGGACTACTAACTGCAAAGTTGGCAGTTCAAATCCACCAGCTGCACCATGGGGGGAAGATGAGGCTTTCTGCTCCCTCCATGAAGATTTACAGTCTTAGAAACCCTGTCATTGTTGTTAAGGGATGTCGAGTCAGTTCCATAGCGACCCTGTATAGGGTTTCCGAGGAGTGGCTGGTGGGTTTGAACTGCCACCTTGTGGTCCAGTGCTTATCCTACAGAAACCCTATACACCTTCTATAGTAAACATTGCAGGAGTGGGAGAGAAGGGGGAATTGCTCATTGGTGCAGACATGTGCTAACTTGGGTGATAATAGGGAAGACAGTTAAGGATAATAGGGAAGAAAAGGAAGGGGAAAACAAGGAAATTGCTTTCTTTTCTTTTCTGTCTGCTTTCTGTCTTTTCTCTCATGTACTGGAAAGGAAGCAATGTATACTTCTTTTCTCATTGGAACAAACATTGGGAATTTCCCCACAAATTAAAAAAAGGGAAAGGAAAGAAAGAAGAAAAACAGAGAAAGAAAGGAGAGAGAGAGAAGATATGAAAATGGATCGTGGTGATGTTTGTTAACATGGGGAATGTGGTTGGTGTGGCTGGATTGTGCATGTAACAATGGTTGAAGGTGTGAATGTAAAACAGTAAAAGAGAGAAAGAATGAAGGAAACCAAAGACTGAAAAATGGATTAATAACCCACAGGAAGTCCACACACAAAAAGAAATGGAATGATTACAACAGTCTAAACCTACAATGAGGGAAAAAAAGAAAAACAAAGAAGCCCTATACAGGGTAGCTATGAGTTGGAATCTATTCCGTGGCAGTCAGTTGGGGCTTTTGGTGTATTTCCTTTTGTGTTTTGGCAATCCTATGTATTCTAGTTTATATGATTCAAGCAGTTTTCAGAGAGTGTTCCTGCGCTCCTCCAGATGAGCGGACAAGAGGAGAGGTCATGTCTCCTGAGATGGGGGGACAGATGGTCACTCACTGGGCCCTGTGGACCAGCGATCGCTTCAGGTGAATGAATATTTTCAGTAAAACTTCATTCTGTCAGGATGGTCCCAGGTACCCAACCCTCTGTAGCCTCCTCCACCCACGGTGTTAGCAGCAGCACTGTCAGCTCCTATACTGAGCACAGGCCACCCCTCGCTCTGCTTTCAACCCATAGCCACCCTGTGCACAACAGAAGGAAACACTGCCTGGCTATGCCCCACACTCACAATTGTTAGGATTGAGCCCATTGGTACTGCCACAATGGGAGCCCATCTCATTGGGGCTCTTCCTCTTTTTCACTGACACGTCACTTTATCAAGCACAGTGTCCTTCTTCAGGGACTGGTCCATCCTGATAATATGTCCGAAGTAGGAGAGAGATGGTGTACCTGGTGGCCCTGAGCCATGGGAATCCAGCATCTTGGTTACTGTACCCATTCATCACATATAGAGTCTCCCTCATTTCCCGACCCACGAGACCTTACCAACCATGACGTCCCTTTCTAGAGATTGTCCTTTCCTGATGGCATGTCCAAAGAAGTGAGTTGAAATCTCACCATGCTCACATCTAAGGAGCATTCTGGTTCATTCTTCTGGCAGAACACGGTGTGGTCAATATTCTTCACCATCACAGTCCGAACTGCATTCACGTGGGCCCTTAAACCCAGTGAGAGTATCCTTCCAAGGACACACAATAGGAAAAGGACCATGTAATGATGGTGGCAGAGATTGGGCGATACAGCCAAAAAGCCGAGGATGGTGGGAAACCACCAGACGCTGGGAGAGAGGCTCAGGGGCAGACTCTCCTGAAGCCCCCAGAGGGAGCTGGCCAACCCACAACGTGGACTCTGACTTACAGACCCCTGAGTAATCAATTTCTATGGCTTGAAGCCACCAAATTTGTGGTGATCTGTTACTTGAAAGACAGCCTTTTCTTCATCTTTAAAACAGGGACCTCAGGAATGGAAGACATGCCTCAACACAACCAAGTGCCACCTTCTCACTGGTCCTCAGGCCTGGACCCTTGGCCAAGTTGCTTCTGCTGTCACCACGCTGGGTCCGCTGTGTGTGCTCCCAGACCACCCTCACGTGGGGTCAACACCTCGGACAGAGATTACCCAAGCGTTGCTCTTCCTGTTCACAGCAGCTGGCCCCCAGCTTGTGCCCACCTGCCTCCCCTGAGGGAGATCCCACTCCCTGAGAGGTCACAGCTTGTGCATGGGGCTGGGGCCCCCTGCTCCTCCTCCCTGATCCTCAGGGTCTGTGAGGGGGTGCCCAGTGGAGCCTGTCCTGGGATCAGCTCCTGGACAGTGTGGGCCTAGGCACCCTGATGCTGGTTTGGAACATTCCAGGTCTCACCTTCCTCCTTGGACTATTTCCCAGGTCCAGTCGTCAGCCTGAGTGCAGTGCCCATGGGATTGGGAGCAGACACCCACTCAGTTGCTGCAGGTGAGAAGACTCCTAGCCGTTAAGGGCAGCTCAGGACTAGTGTCCACATGTCTTCATTAAGCCCCAACTCCCCAGTCACAGCACCTGGGACCCAGCAGGTCTTGCTTCCACCCCTCCTTCTCTGCTCCAACAGTCTAGAAACTCAGAAAGCCAGCGGCCCCTCTTCCCTGCTGCAGGGCTGGCAGTTGGTCCCCCAGTTCCCACTCCTTACAGGATCCCTGCCCCTCCGGGAGTCCGCTTCTCTGGGTCCTCCTTCAGTGCTGGACACCAAGACCTGGATGATGTGGACACATCTGTCCCTCCAGTCATGCATTAGGAGCCAGGCAGATAAACTTTATTCCCCCCTCCCTGCCCCATGGCCACCAGCAGAGGATGGCCAGGCTGCAGGGGGACCCTGGCATAGAGCCCTGCACAGAGGTAGCTCTGTGGTCATCCACATGGGCTGCTCCAGGGCCTGGCCGAGCCAGGGTAGGCAGCCTGCTGGGACTTCTATTCCCAGTGGACAATCGAGGGCTTGGGGCAGCCAGGATGGTGGGGAGACAGCCAGTGGCCGAACCCTCCTGTGGACATGAACGAGGTCGATTTGCACTGGGCGGCTCTATGAAAGGGAAAGTGGGGGGTCTCAGAGCTGGGATGCCCAGACGGAAGGGTGCTTTGGCCTGGGTCTAGCAGGGGCGGCAAGTGGGTTTCTGACAAAAATGCTTCCGGGATACGAAAGTGAACAGGGCTCAGTGAGTCTTGGCCAATGGGAGACTGTGGAGGCCAGCGCAGAATAAAAAAAGTCTCACACACACACCAACGCACACACAGAGTCAGTGCCTCACACGACGCTTTGCCGGCCCCTGGCCGCCCCAAACTCGTCGGAGCCTCCACCCCGGCTGAAGTCAATGAAGATGCCCTCTGAGTCAGAATCCGCAGACTCCAGGATCTGGTCTACCAGGTTCTCAGGGCTGGAGGTGGGAGAGGAACCGTGAGCAGGGTCCAGGTCCTGCCCAGCTGCCTGGGCCGGGGGGTACAGTCTGCTGGGGCAGGGCCCCGAATGGGGGGCCGTGTCGGTGAAGCCCTGGGGCTCGGGGCAGGATGTCATCTCTGAAACGGAGTGTCTGCGGATGCCCGGGCCACCAGCGGCCGCCCCCTCGGCCTCATGCTCCGCCACAGGATTCAGCAATGGTGTGTTATAGCTCTTGGAGCGCATCACAGGGTTCTTGGCCAGGACGTCCCCAGAGCGAGAACGGCGAAGGAGATGCTTCTCTGTGGAGAGAGGGGACAGGGTGCCAGGGTGGGGGGTCTCTCCCACAGCCAATAGTCTGTTTGTCCCTGTCCCTTTGCACACGGTGGGTATCCGTGTGTTCAGACCAAGGGCCACTTGTTGGGTGTCTAGTGTTCACCGAGCTCTACCTGAGGGATGAACCCATTGCCGGCAAGTCATTTCTGACTCACAGCATCCACACAGGATGTTCAGAGCTGCAAACCTTTAGGGAAGCAGTCCGCCACATTCTCCTCTCAGGGAGCAGCTGGCGGGTCTGAACCACTTACCTTTTCATTAGCAGTCAAATGCTTTAACCACTGTATCACCTGGCGATAAAGTGTTGTTGTTGTTATGTGCCATCATGTTGGTTCCTACTCATAGTGACCCTGTGTAGGGTTTCTGAGGAGCGGCTAGTGAATTTGAACCACTGACCTTGTGGTCCAGCACATTATCCTGCACGCCACACCTGGTACAGGATGCAAATTGAGACTCTGAGGGAATGTTCCAGAGGGAGGGGGCAGGGAGGACTTTAGCCCCAGCTGCACTAGTCCTTGTTGGGTGCTGTAGGATAAGCACTGGCCCAAAAGATTGGTTTAAACCAGTACGTCAACAGTTCAAACTCACCAGTCACTCCTCAGAAACCTGATACTGGGTTGGTATGAGTCAGAACAAACTCGAGGGCACTTAACAACTCTAGACCCTAACAAGTCCTCTCTTCTTGGGGTGGGGGGCAGGCCAGGAGGTCCCAGCCTCTACACCCACAAGGCCGGGGGGGAAGGTACCCTTACCAGTTCGGGTCTCTGACAACCTCTGTACCTCAGTTACCCTGGAATCCTAGTATGCAGGGATAAAACCCTGAAGGCGAATCCTCAGTTTGCTCCAGCTACTACTTCCCCTTCCTGGGTCTTGGTGTACCCGTTTGTTTACTGGGTGTGTGTGTGTAAAGGGAACTAGACCTACCCAGGATACAGGTGTGTGTGAAGGGTCCCTCTCTGGAGTAGAGGCCATACGTGCCCAGGTAAGGCGACACCACCTTCTGGACCAAGGCCTCTAGCCGCAGGTAGTCCTCACTCACACCTCTGGTCTCGTGCACCCCCTGCAAGAGGAAGGAGGGGTTAGGCGCCCTTGTCCAGGTCGGCCAGCAGCCCAAGCCTCTGGCCAGTGTGGCAAAGCTGGGAAGCTGCAGGGGGCACAATGGCCAACAGGTGGCAGCACTGCCCCACCAACACAGCCAACTTCCCTACAATTAAAGTGGGACCATCTCAACACCTTAAGGAGTCCTTGGAGGCTGCAAACAGTAAACACGCTCAAGTCCACCCTGATGTGCCTTGGGAGAAAGGACTGGTGAGCTCCGTTTGAAAACTCAGCCTTTGGGAGTCCTATGGAACTGAAGTTCAGGAGCAGAAGTCTATAGGCAGAGAGGTGGGAAGCGATAGAGCTGGGCTTCCAACCTGGCCGGGCTCAACTGCAAATTCTATTTTCTGTGTGATGAGTGCACGGTCCCTGGCTGTCTAGCTTCCTATTGGCTGCTCAGGACGGGTGAGGTCTGGGCAGACAACCCATGGTTGCAGTCCCTCTGGAACCCTGTGGCCGGAGAAGCTGCATGAACGTGCTCTGTCTGTGTACAGGGGCTCAGCAATCTGGCTCCATCAGCTGGGATTTCTCACAGCAGACCTGGGACCTAGTGTAAGTTCTGTCCCTCCAAGTTCATGGAAAAAGCCAGTAAGAGGTGATGGAAGTTTCCCACGAACTTTTTGACGCCCCCTTGTACATGCAGTCCTGTTTGGAAACAGGGTTTTGTTTGTCATGTTCATGAGACTGTAGCAGTGTAGAAGGCTGCTGGTGGCACAGTTGGAGGTTGGAAGGTGGGCGGTTCAAATCCACACAGTGGAACCTCAGAAGAAAGGCCTGGCGATCTGCTGTCATATAAACTGGAGCCAAGGACATGCTTACGGAGCTCATTTCTACTCTAACACCTGCGGTCACTGTGAGTTGGAATCGATTTGACAACAGTGGGTTTTGTTTTTATTTTTGATCAATGGAAGGTGAGCCCGACACCCAATCATTCTGAGTTATTAGGAAAAGTAGATTTAGATACAAGAGCAAGTACACACATGAAGGTCACCAAGGAAACCAGGACCGCTGGGACTAGAGAAGCCGAGATGAGGACCTTCGCCCACAACCCACACAAAGCCTTGCTCCAAAAATGATACATTCCTTCTGTGTAAAACCCTCCACTTGTGTGGAAGTCTCTCTAGAGGACAGGGACACGTCAGTCACTTTTGTCCAGCCCCTGCCCACAAGGGATGATGACCTGTGGGGCCACCTGCTCCCAGCTCTGTGGAACAGACTGACACCAGTGTCCCCTGAACCCCACCTTTGTCTGGATCTTGCCGCCTTTGCTTTACTCTCCTGTTTCTCTTGTGTGTCCTTATCCAAAGGCTTGACTTCATGTTCCCTTGATCTAGCGGGCACCCCACCCCATTTCTTTTGCGTGTCCCCATTGAAGGCTCTTTCCCAGGGGCCTGCCTTCATGGTCCCCTGACTTCCCAGATGCCCCCTCACCTGCAACACCAGCAGCATCTGCACAATGGCAGGTGGCACGTGGGCACGGGTGCGGGACAGGGCGTCGTCCAGCTTCACGCTCAGCGTGATGGTGTTCCGGAAGTGCAACAGGGCCAGCTGACGCACCGACGGCTCCTTGCCCTGTGGACATGGGTGAGCCGCCCCCACCCCAAGGCTGCCGTGAGTTGTGGGGGGCTTTTCATTAACTTCGCCCAAAGAATTTGGTCTCTGCCCTTGGTTCCTGAGACATCACTTTCAAAAGTGTCTTTGTAAGGACTCTGGAACACAGTTGACAGGGTGAGGTGATGCGGTGGCCTTGGAGGGGGGGCTGGTCAGAAAGACTACATCATGGATGGTGTCAACTGACCTCAGGGAGAGGGGGCTGCAAGCTGAGTGACCCCCAATCAAGGTTCTGGACCTGGAAGCTCCAATGGCTCCCTGGTTGGTGACAGACAATAATGCGTGAGGAGAGCAGCGAGTTCCTTTTTGGGCGATGGAATCCCCCCACACTGAAAGCCCCCTTATGTTTCTTCATGTCTACCTTTTTTCTATAACACGGTCTGACATGGCCAGTCACCTGTGAGGCTCAGACATCGGGAATGGCTGAGTAGGGGACAACAGGTCCTCCCTGGGGCCCCAGGCAGTGGGCGGTGGGTCTGCTCCCTCACTGCCCCCACCTGGGGGCCTCTCACCTGCACTGGGTAGAAAATGGCCTGCAGCATCGGCAACACATCGCTGAAGAAGAAGTCCCACGTCTCTGCCAGCGAATCCAGTAGCTTCTGTCCTGTGGGCAGAGAGTCCGTCACCCAAGGCCCCAGATGATGCTACAGCTCACTGAGAACTCAGAAGCCCCTCAATCACCGGTAGGAAGGTCCAGGAGCTGAGGTTCTGAGCCCTGGAAGGTCCTGTCCAACGCTGACTCCATCACCCTGGGTCAGCTTCTTAATCTCACCACACCTGTCTCCCCATTTGTGAAATGGGACAGAGCTGATGGAATGGTATGAAGTTAAACCAGGGCCCACTGCCTGTTCCTGTCCCCTGGTCAACTATGCCCTGAACATGGGTCTTAACCCACATTTGATCTTACCCAACCCTGCTGACCACCGCACCAAGCTGTTGGGGAATGTACTCACCATCCACCCATCTATGCATTGTTCCATCCACACACTCACCATTTCTCATACCCAACGTGTGTCCAGTACTCATTAATCTACCCACCGTCCCTCTTCTTCCCACCGCCCGTCAGTCATCTCTTGTCCATCCGACAGACACTCACAGAGAACCCACTCTGTGCTACTTTGACACAGAACTGGGGACTCAGTGGAGCACCAAACAGCCTAGTCCCACCATGTGATACTAAGACAGGAGGAGGTGTGTATCCATGGTCCTCATCCGCAGCCAGGATGCAGTTCCTGGGTGCCGGCCTCAAGGGCCTGAGTTCAGCTCCATCCCAGGACCAATTGAGGCCCAGGGAGCCAGAGAGCCCCCTTATAACAGCAGCAAAATGTCCAAGGTAGGAGAGGTGGGGAGTCAAGCAGGGAAGGCTGCCTGGAGGAGGTGCTGGTCCAAGCCAGACTGAGGAGGAGAAATTTGTCAGATTGAGCATGTGCACATTTCACCGCCAGGGGTGGGTGAAAGTGGGGGAAGTTGAGGGGCTCCATCAGAGGCCTTTCTGTCTGGACCTAGCAGGGAGGTGAGATGAAGGACTGAGGGGTCTGGGCTGAGCAGGCATGCATTTCCATGAGCCCCTGAGTCCTCTGCTGACAGGCAGACCTCATCTGGAAGCTGGAAGCCAGAAGCCCTACAAGCAATTGGATGGAGAAAATCTGGGTGCTAAAGTTGGTGATGAGTGAAGAGGAGAAAATCCACGGCTGGAAACTGGGCTGGGTGGCGTCCAGATCACAGTGCTGATGCGGACCACCACCAGATTTCCACAGGGATGAGAGGCCGATGGGGACTTCGCCTGTCTGCTTGGTCTCCCTGGGCCGAGTTGGGGCTGTGTGTGTGTGTGTAGAGGACGGATAGGGAGGATCTAGCCACAAGCAGCCCTGAGGTCTGTCTAGCCTGCGCCCCACCCTTGGCTTGTCCTCCCGGGTGGCCCACACCTGGCTCCTTTCCTCCAGGCAGGCGGCAGGAATGCCCAGCGGGTGGATGCTCGCCACCCTGCAGGGGTCTGCGTGCACAAAGGCCCCTTTAGTCCTCAATGGCAGGACTTAGCCCGGGCGGTGTGGGGTGGTTCTGGGTGAGTGCCAGGCCAGGGTTGCTGACCGGGTGGTTCTCCAGCTCCCAGGGCAGAAATGCAGGCTGTGAGCAGAAGTAAAATGCCATCTCGGGCCTCACAGAGCCAAGAGCTGGCTCAGTCTGGGACTGTGGGCCCGAGTGTTCAGAGTGCTGGAGAACAGGAGACTGAAACCCAGCTCTGCCCTGCATGGGAAGACTCAGTTGGGTCCCTGACCTGAGCCTTGCTGGTCCTCTGTGAAGTGGACCATATGGAGAGTTCCCAGGGGGGTGGGGACGAAACCCCTGTGTGTGCGGTACTGCTGGTGAACAGGCGTCCATTCCTGTCACGGAGTCACCCTGGGTCTCATGTGGGAGGGGGCCGTCAGTCTGTCTGTCTTCTCTGTATTCAGCCCTGAGTCGGGCGTTGATACACAGGGTCCTGGTGCAGCAGAAATCCATCGTATCCTAGCTCCAAGTCTAACAGCCGATGGTGCGCAGCTCCGGCAGGACCCCAAGGGGACAAGGCTCAGGGTATGTGTACAGAGGCGCTGCAAGGGCAGGGGACCCAGCGGACACTACACTGTACTGAAGAGTCTGGGTACTGGCAATGGATGCTGACTGCAGTGGCTGGTCCCCAGAAGCCATTAACCAAGGTCCCCAGGCCACATTCTCAGACTTCATCTTCTACCTGGAGGATACCTACCCACCTAAGGGCTGCCTCCCGTTCCCAGGGATCCGGGGTTGAGCCCGAGGCTTCATGGTGGGTGGGAAAGATGGGAGGCAGTACAGCCCCGGCCTATGTCCCTTCCCCTACCCCTTCCAGCTAGGGTATGGGATGAAGACAGGAAATCCCTCCGCTTCCTGAGACCTAACTAGAGTGGAGGAGGAGGGCGTCTCTGATTCCGTCCTTCGGGGAATGGTAGTGGCCATGGTCCCCGCTGCCTGGGAGCTGAGGGGACCTGACATCCATTTGAACAGCCCTGACTAAAGGGCCACCTCCTCCAGGCAGCCCTCCCTTGGCCAGGATTTGTGCCCTGACCAGGATGTGATCTCACAGTGCTGTCACCGTCTGGCCCCCATCTGTGTCCCCTCCAGAACAAGGCCTGGGGCCTCTGTGTTTCCGAGCACTCAGGAACGGAGCCCACCCAGCCCTGCGGTGCTGAGGAGGGGCCACTGATCCCAACCTGGGCTTCATCCCTGGTGTGGCAGAGGGACCTGGATGCTGTGGGCATCGCTCCACGGCCACACAAAGCTGCCCTTCTCTGCTGGCCCTCCTCTGCCGGTGAGGAATGTGCTGAGTCAGAAGTCAGGAACGGCCGTGGGAGGGCACCTTTGCGGGCGCCAAATCCTCACTGCCCGGAGCGCTGTCCTCAGGTTCCTGCCCTGCTACCCGCTCCCCTTGCCTTTGTCCTCAGGTTCCCACCCTGCTGGTTATGCAGGACCAGCGGCTCCAAGGTCACCAGGAGCACCTTGGGATCTTCTCAAGCCTCAGTTTACACTCCTGAAAAATGGGCTAACAGTTCTTCCTTGAGTTAGCACAAGGCCTGGGGGAAAGAGATGTGGAAAGGGAGGTGGAGAAGGCGGGCTTGGGGCTGGCCACCCTTATTTGCACCCAGCACTGTGTGACTTCACTGTGCCTCGGTTTCCCCATACGTTGGGTGACACACAGGGCTGTTGGGGGACCATGTTGTTATTAAGTGCCATCGAGTCAGTTCCGACTCATAACGGCCCAGTGCAGGGTTTCCAAGAAGGAGCTGGTGGGCTTGAACTGCCAACATTGTGGTTCACAGTCCAGTGCTGATCCTACACCACAAAAGAAGTCGGATCTTTAAGCTCGTAGGTGTGAAACATTCTGACTTTGGCGTGGAGCCTGGCACACAGCAGCCCCTCAGCAGCGTGGGGGTTTGAGTTGAGCCCACCTGTTCTCTCCCAATGCCGTTCGCCCCCCAGGACACAGACACCAGCCCCTCAAACACTCAACAGAACGCCTGGGCCCCTAGATGGGCAAAGGGCATGGTCTCAGGAGTCAGGCAGACCTGGGTTCAAATCCTGTCTTTGCCCTTTACTGTCTGTCACCTGCTACAGTTCTGTCTGTTCTCAGTTGTGGAATGGGACCCCCAGGTCTCTCAGTGTGGGGCAAACACAGAAAGAGAAAACAGCTCCACTGCTCCCCCTTGGTGCTAGCTTCAGTCACGCCCACCCACCACACTGTCCCTTCTGGGATTACCAGCTACCCTGACAATAGTCCCCTCTGGGCATGCTTGAGGCCTTTCTGGAGTGTGGTTTGAAGTTTCAACACATCATCCACATGTCTTCCCAAATGTCACCATCGGTACCCAGGTGTCTCTAAAAAATTCCATGGGGGCTTTAACTAAGAGATGCTCAGAGTGTAGTCTGGGGACCAAAGAGTCTTTCGGGGGTCTACCTAATCAAAACTATTTCCATCTATCTTACAAAGGACCCCCAGTGGAGCTGTGGGTTAAGCACGTGACTTCTAAAGGCAAGGTCGGTGGTTCAAACTCACCAGCAGCATCACAGGCGAAAGATGAAGCAGATTGGTTCTGTAAAGCTGTAGTCCCGGCAATCCTACAAGGCAGTCCTAGTGTGTCCTTGTTGTTGTTGTTAAGTGCTGTCGAGTCGGTTCTGACTCATAGTGACCCTGAATAGGGTTTCCGAGGAGCAGCGGGTGAGTTTGAACCACTAACCTTGTGGTTCAAGCCGGGCCGGCGCTTATCATACAGCGCCACACCAGAACACCAGGACGAGGGGGTTGCAATAAATCATATCGACTTGACGGTAGAGGTTTGGTTTTCTTACTCCGACGGTCCTTGGGATCTTCCCGAGGTTACACAGTATGTGATGAATCGAGGCACTGACAGATATGAGGTGGTCTGCTTGGGTGATTCTGTACTTGCACAATTCTCCAGCTCTCTGGGGGTCCTTTATACTTCTGAGGGGATCCCGAGAGCCACACATTTCAGTTCTGTTGGCGGAACGTTCTCCAAACACCACCGACACGTCAGGGGCATCCCTCACTGGCCAGGTCTCCGTCTGCGTTTCTCTAGCACTCAGTCCTGTTCGAGGCTGACCCTGCTCTTGTCTCCTTCCAGGCTGGCTCTCCAGCATTTGTCCTGGGGAGGTCTGGGTGCTCCTGTCTGCTGAGTTTGCCAGGCACGGTTTCTGTTGCTTGTCATCAAAGAACTCTGACCCAGGTTTCCTGATGGGCGTGCCCTGGTGGACCAGCCAGTTCTGAGTCCCCATAGCTTCCCCATCTGAGGGCAAACTCTGCCTGGAACGACCTCTGGCCCCACCAATCTGCGTTTCCAAGACTCTCTCCTTCTCCCCCTTTATGAAATGGAGGCAACCTGTGCCCTACGCCCACCCGCAGGTTCTCCGAGGCCCTCCTCACCGATGCCACTGTCCCGCCCAGCCCCCACAGGTTGGTGGGCAGATGTGTTTCCTGACATGGTCATTTTCTGGAAACGGATCTTGGCCCTGCTTGTCTCTGCAGCCCTGTTTCTGGTACCTTCTGGCTAAGAGAGTCTCACCTACCACCCAGAGCTCCAAGGGCCCCAGCAGGACCCAGTGGTCACCATAACAGTTTCGCACCACCCCTCAGCACGTGCACTGACCAGCACTCGGTCCCCGCCACGCTGCCAGACTCACCCTCGTAGAAGTGGATCTTGTCCCGAAGGATCACCATGCCCTTGGTCAGTAGCTGGTTCTGCAAGGTGACCATGGGTATTGTCACTGCTGGTGGGCAGGGCCCATAGCCCCAGCCAGGCAGGGGAAGGGACTCCCTGACGGTCCCCAGCCTGCTCTGGAGTGACACTTACAACTGACCCCACCTGTGCTGCCAGAGGACAGAGGTGGAGGAACTGAGCTGAGGCACACGGCTGCCTCCTGAGTCCCAACAGCAAAGGATTTAAGTGGGAGGGGGCCCACTTGAGGCGGGTTTGGCGGTGAATCAGCACCAGTTAATGGGGGGCTCACAATGCCGACCCTGTGCATGGTGTCTCCACTGAGAACACACTATAGGGGTTCAGCCCCGTTCACAACAGCTACCAGGTGGAAACGACCCAGATGACCCTCAACGGATGCGTGTGTTACCGTGTGCCACAAAGTCAATTCTGACTCTTAGCGAGCCTATGTGTGATAGGGTAGAACTGCCCCATTGGGGATTTTGGGCTGTCAGCTTTACAGAAGTACATCACCAGACCTTTCACCCACAGAGCTGTTGGGTGGGTTTGAACTGCCAATCTTTTGGCTAGCAGTGGCACACTGAACGGCTGTGCCACCAGGGTTCTTTGTGTTTGTATCTATGACTCAGGCAGCACTGGCATGTGTGACAACACGTGTGACAACACGTATGAACTTGGAAAGCATCACACCAAATGAAACAAAGCCAGTCACAGAAGGTCACATACTCCACAAGTCCACCCACACGAAATTCTCACAACATGCAAATCCACACAGGAAACAGGCGCGTGGTTCCTAGATGCCAGGAGTGGGGTGGGACGGGGAATGGTGAGTGACCGCTGCTAGCTTCTCTTGGGGTGGTGGAAATGTTCTGGCGTTTAGGTAGCGATGAGGTGGTATAACCTGGTGACTGTACTAAAGCCCTCAGAATGATATATGTTAGAAGGAAGCGCAGTAGCTCTGTAGGAGAAGCACCAGACTTTGAACTACAAGGTTGGCAGTTCGAGCCCACCAGTCGCTCTTGGGAGAAAGATAAGGCTTTCTGCTCCCGTAAAGATTTACAGCCCAGGAAACTCTATCGGAACTGACTGAACAGTTCTTAACAACATCATATGTGGATTGTATTTCATGTGAATTACCAGGGAACTTCCTCGACCCTCACATGGAACCCCGCAGGGGCTGGGTGTTGTGGAGCTGCATGTGATCTCAGGTGGGTCTTAACCCTATCTGATCCTGTTTCTGTTGGGTCACTGTGCTCTGCAGGGACCGGCCCCAGGGACGTCAGGAGCTGGTATTCAGGAGGACGTGAACCCTGAGTCCCGCCATGGACCAGGCAGCACCATGTCACCTGCAGTATCTGGGTTTACCTCCACAGAGATCCACCTGGCCCAGTGAGAACCCAAGTCACAGTGGGGTGGGGTCCTCACCAGCCCATCTGGTCCCCTTGTGAGAGCAGGACCACCCACCTGCAAGTACTCGGTGAAGAAGGACCCCAGCTCCGTCTTCAGCAGCTGCCTGTGGACACAGAGAGACAAGAGGGAGGGGTCAGAGATGACAGGTGTGGGCAGGGCCCCAAGTGGGTGGAGGGGGTGGGGAGTGGGGTGACACAAGAGGTTGGGGCAGCATCTTGGTCCAGTCTCAGCTCAGCACATACACGTTCCCTTCCATTTCAGAGGTCCACGCTGGGGGTCCCATGGTTTTCTGGGGATACTCTTGGAAGGGCAGCCTTCCAACACCCAGGTTTGCTCCCTGCTGCGGGCCTGCCCCCAACCCTAGAGCCAGGGTTTCTTGGCCCACCTTTTACTTGAGTTTATTAACATTCGTTCTCTGCTCTGAATTGAACTGAGTCTCCCCAAACTCTGTGTTGGAATCTTTACCCCTACACGTGATGTGGTGCTATAGAATAAGTACTGGACTGCTAACTGCAAGGTCGGCGGTTCAAACCCACCAGTTACTCCTTGGAAATCCTACACAGGTCCACTGTGTCTCGGAACTGGATGACAATTAACAACAACAACTGGGTATGAGATCCCCTTTGGAAAGGAGATCTTCTTTGTTGTGATAATCAAGACCTGACAGTGTAGATTGTTGTCATTGTTGTTGTTAGGTGCCATCCAGTCTGTTCTGACGCACAACAGAAGGAAACATGCCCGGTCCTGCCTCAGCCTCACAATCGTAGTTACACTAAAAACCCTTTGTTGCTGCCACTGTGTCAATCCATCTCGTTGAGGGTCATCCTCTTTTTCACTGACCCTCCACTTTACCAAGCATGATATCCTTCCCCAGGGACTAGTCCCTCCTGATAAAATGTCCAAAGTACAAGAGATTAAATCTGGCCATTCTGGTTTCCAAGGAGCCCTCTGGTTGTCCTTCTTCTAAAACAGGCGTTTGTTCCTCTGGCAGTCCACGGTACTTTCAATATTCTCCTCCAACAGCAGAACTCCAATGCATCAATTCTTCTACGGTCTTCCTTATTCACTGTCCAACGTTCACATGCAGATGAGGTTATTGAAAATGCCATGGCTTGGATCAAGCCCACCTTAGTACTCAAACTGACTTCTTTGCTCTTCAACACTTTTAAGAGGTCTTGTGCAGCAGATGTGCCTCGTGCCCTATGTCGTTTGATTTGTTGGCCGATGATTCTATGAGTTGATAGTGGATCCACGCAAAATGAAGTCTTAGACAACTTCAATCTTTTCTCCATTTATCGTGATGTTATTTACTGGCCTAGCAGTGAGGAATTTTTTTCTTTACATTGAGCTGTGATCCATATTGAAGGCTGTGGTCTTTAATCTTCATCAGTAAGTATTTTAAGTCCTTTTCGCTTTCAGCAAGCAAGGTTGTATCATCTGCATATCACAGGTTGTTAATGACTTATATGCCATAGAGTCACAGCGATCTTGTATTTCCAAGGCTGCAAATCTTTCTGGGAGTAGAAAGCCTTATCGTTCTCTAGCAGAGCTGTTGGTGGATTCGAACTGCCAATCTTGAGGTTAGCAGCCCAATGTACAACCACAACGCTAAACCGAAAGCAGTTCAAACACAGGAGTGTGTACGCAGGCTAGCGCTTGTGCACACATGCATGTTCACACCCACCTGCACGGATGTCTGCATCCGCGCACTCGCACGCAGATCACGTATGAGCCAAGGAATCTATAGGGCTCACCTACAAGGAAGGAATGGATGGGGCTGAGACTTTGATTTGGACTTTTAGTCTCCAAAACCGTGAGACCACTTGGGCATCTCTGTCACAGCAGCACGAGGTGAGGCAGGGCAGGCTCAGAGAGGTCAAGCAACTTGTCCAAGGCCACACAGCACTGGTCAGAGTTAGGCGCTGACTGGAATTTTTTGATCACCTTCAAGGGCCCTAGTGAACGGTGAGTATCTACTTCATGATAACCGCAGACTGAAGGCACTTGGACATCATCAATATTGATGCCCAAGGCTCATCTCACCAACTTAATCTTAGTGGTTAAGTGCTCATCAGCTAATCTAAAGGTCGCTGGTTCAAACCCATCAACGGCTCTACAGGAGGAATGAGACAGCCTTGGAAACCCATGGGGCAGTTTTACTTCGTCTACAAGGTAACTATGACAACAATAATCTCTATCAGGAGTCCCCAGGTGGTGCAAGGGTAACACGCTCGGCTTCAAACTCAAAGGCTGGAGGTCCCAGTCCACCCAGGGGTACCATGGAATAAAGGCCTGGCAATATTGACTTTAGAAAAATCAGCAATGACAACCCTCTGGAGCACACACGCAGGCGCTGAGTCAAAGCTCTGGTCGGTGCCCCCAAACATGGGTAATTCCCCATCTGACCAGATGAGGGAAAGGCTTACTGCCTACTTGTACCAGGGCACTGGAGGCTAGGGCTGGGGACACCCCTGGGACCTGTTGCAGCTGTGTGACCCTGGGCAAGTCTCTTGACCTCTCTGAGTGCCACCTTCCTGAATCACAGAACGGCAGCAGCGAGCAGCCGGGCTCGCAGCACTGGGCCCCAGGGGCAGCTCCCTGGCCTCCCTTCCTCATTTCTTTGCCATTCACAGGAAACCCGGGCTCCGGTCATGCTGATTGCTTTCCCGTCATTAGACACGTGGGCACTTCCTCTTCAGCAGAGTAAATATCCTTGGTGATGCTGGGAGCGGTGGGGAACGTGGCAATCTGACCCTGGACAACAGGGTGGGGATGGCAGGCCCACCGGTTCTGAAACCTCAGGTACCGGGAATGTAGTGAAGCTGCAGGCAGAGGCCCTAGGGCAGTGTGGACACCAAGACCTGCTGGTCACTGGCCATCTCCTTGAACTCAGGGTTGGGCAGGACACTTACCGGACACCCTCATTGAGGCTGAAGAGCTCCTGGTCGGGCAGACCTTTCCGCTGGAAGACAGCAATTACCCCGTTGTGGATGCTGCAGGTAGAGAGGGAAAAGCTGACACCACAGCCCCCTCCCTCTAGCTCCCAGGCTGCCCCCGCTCCCCCTGGAGGGCAGCGATCACCCATGTGGGTGTTGTGAGTTAAGACAGAGAACTTAGGTTCACAGACCGCCTCCCTTCTACACCCTGTTGTTGTTGTTAAGTGCCATGGAGTCAGTTCCGACTCATAGCGACCCTGTACAGGGTTTCCGAGGCTGTAAATCTTTACCAGAGCAGAAAGCCTCATCTTTCTCCCGCGGAACAGCTGGTAGTTTCAAACTGCTTGTCCCTGAGGTTCGCAGCCCGATTCGTAACCACTACGCTACCAGAGCTCCTTCTACACCCTGGAGGGATAAAAATTGCTCTATTAGTAGGCATAGGCTGGGCCTGGCCCTCTGCTTATGAGGAAGGCCTGGATGGCAGGATGGGCTGTGCAGTGTGACCGTGTCCACACCGAGTTTCAGATCCTTGCGCCCCAGGCCTATGCCACCAGCGCTTCTGGTAACCCTTCACCAGCCTGCAGCCAAACTCGAGGCGGACACTTTCCGTCCCAACATGCTTCATATCCTGTATTCCTGAGCCTCCCCACCCAGGGCACCCTTCGTTGACCTCCCTCTGACACAACCACATCCTGCTGACTCGTGCCTTCTCAGCAATTCTGGACCAGTCACTGTGATTCAGGCTCATGCTCCTAGGCTTCCTCCAAGCCGTGACTGCAATCAGGTTCCATTAAAATGCCTCTCTGACCCCAATGCCACCCCTGCTTAACACCCTGTAAAGCTGGGGCCCGTACACTTGTTCTGTTAAAACCCAGAGGATGATGTTCTAGGCTGTGCATCCCATCTGGTCTCTGTTACTCAGCACTGCCCTGCGGCTCCTGTATAGGTGGCCTGTACCGGAATGGACATGGCTGTGTTCCAATAAAACTTTATTTACATAAACTGGCTGTCAGCTACGCTTGGAGCTGGAGTCTGCTCATCAAGCGCTTCAGCATGCCCCTAACAGTCCTGGCTGACCCCCTGCCTCCTTGAGCACCCCACTTCCTTGTCATCAGCACCCAGCCCTACAAGGAAAGCTGCCAACAGCCCCGGGGACTTTGCACCTGCCCTTCCTGCAGCTCCACCCTCCCCTGGCCTTCCTGACTCGCATCTACCCAGACAGATCACAGGTCGGTCGGTACTGGCTTTCATGCTTGTTGATGTGGAAACCTGCTGATGCAATCCTTGTTTTCTCTTTTACTTAAAACAATTTTTCATTTTACCTTTTGTTGTTGTTGAGAATATACACAGCAGAACCCACACCAATTCCACCGTTTCTACACGGACATTTCAGTGATATTGATGGCGTTTGAATGGTACGACTATTCTCACCCTCCTTTTCTGCGAAGTTCCTTCCTTGTTCATGTGAACTCACTGCCCCCAAAGCTTCCCATCTAGACTTCTGAGTTGCTGTCGTCAATTTGGTCCCATCTACACAGTGCTTACGACAGTGCAATGCTCAAGGCGGACACTCTTTACTAAGTTAGACTACTGTTTGGTTTTAAGAAGATTTCAGGGATATTTCTGGCTTAAGGTTTATAGGTAATCTCAAGGCAATCATTTCAGTTCATTCAACCTTCCTGGCTCCAGGAAATCTGGATTCCACGAGAATTTGAAGTTCTGTTGTGTGTCTCGCCCCTTTTGATGAGGCTTTTTCTACAGACTCTTTGATCAAAACTTGGAGTTGTGGTAGCCAGGCCCTGTGCATTCTTCTGGTCTCACGGAAAAGGGGGCATGTGATTTTTTGATTGATGATGGTCTCCACCATGATTTATAAACGACAAGAATGTAGGACCCTGGGATTGTTCAAAGACACTTGGTGATGGTCGGGAAATAAATGAATCCTTGATGCTTCCTCATTTCCAATCCAGTCAGTCCAAAGTTCTTCCCATTTCTACCTCCTTGAGGCTCCCTGCACCCCTTGCTCTCCCTGTCCAGCCCAACTCACTGGCCCTCGGCCGACACTAGTGTGCTCTCTGCAGCCCACCCTCTATACACTTAACTGCTCAGGACCTCAGACACAGCGCCCCCTAGTGGATGCAGCACCCCAGCCCATGGGACGCCCACCATCTAAACTCTAGTGGGAGCACATGCTGCCCCTCCTGCCCAGAAGACACTTACCCTCTCTGGGGCTCGGCTCAGAGGTCACTGGCTCCATGAAGCTTCTCCCTTGTCCTGGGGATGGGGGGTGGGACTCATTCTACTGTTGTTTTCCCCACCAGCCTGTCTAGGCTATTTGGCATGGCTGCCCTGAACCTCACAACAGACCAGCTGTTGGGCTTCCCTGGGGCAGAGGGAACAGGTGGCCACATGCGGCTGTCCATACCATACACGGATGGTGGCTACTACTTTCCTGGTGCCCTCATTTGCCACAACCCACTCCGCCCCACAAGGTGGCCTGGCTGCCGCCCTTTCACAGATGAGACAATGGGGGTGAAAGAGACCACACCCCTGCTCCCCAGGAGCATGAAACCAGCAGTGTGATCCCAAGTGCTGACCCAACAGTGGTTCCTGCTGCTCCCTTGGGTGCATCTTCTCACAGTTCAGGAGGCGGGAAGTGTGAATTTAGGGTGTGGGCTCTAAGGTAAAGCCCTCTGTCCTCTCTGGGGTTCTCCTAGGAGTTCACTGGAGATTTTCACCCGGGCTGT